GGGACCACAGGCTAGTTCCAGGCCGGGGTAGGCATCGGCTTAGGAAGGTTCACCGGTGTTTCCTCTGCTCCCTGCCACTCACTGGGCACAGCCACCCGGGAAGTGACTACCGCGGGTTTTGTTCCATTTTGCAGTTGGGGAAAGTGAGGCTGAGAGAGAGGCAGTGACTGCCCAAGGTTAAACAGTGCTTTAGGGCAGAGCGGCCCAGTGCCTGTGTCTCCACCGCCTATCCCGAGGTCTGTGTTCCTGCGTGTGGAGTGCGGAGGGTGCCCTGTGAGGCCCTGTGGCCCAGAAGACCGTCTGGACACAAAAGGCAATTTCTCCTCCACTCCCACCACTGCCTCCTGGGCAGGAGAGAGGACAGGGCCTCCAGGCCTGAAGAAGTGGGGGAACCTGCTCCCCAGCCACCTCCTAGCCCCGACTCTAAGCCCTGGTACAGCCCAGCCCAGGGCAGACCCCACACACATCCCACTCTGGGCAGGTCACTTTCTCTGGCTTCAGAGGGGACGAGTTGGGGTGGAGGGACTACTAGAAGCTTCTGTGGCTCCCACCTGGAGCAGGAAGTATTGAGATGTGTCCAGAAGGAACACTTCCCAGCAGGAAAGACATTCAGGATCTGAGCTTCGGGTGGGGAGCCCTGGAGGACAGCAAGCATCTGGGGAGGCGGAGGTGGTGGCACAGAGATCCTGCTCAGAGATCGTCCTGGGGGTGCTGCTGGGAGCCGAGCCCTCAGCCGGTGAAATGCTGGGTGTGACAGCGCTGCACTGGGCTACGAGGCTGGTTCCTCTGAGACCCCTCGGGCCAGGGCACGGCCCACGTTCCTCGGGACTTGCTGTGCCTGGCCCCGCTGCCCCAGCTCACACCATGCTCACTCCACCACCCAGGTGGGCATGACCTACGTGGCGACTGGGAGGCTGGCTGAGGCCTGATGGTCTGTGGCTGGCTCTGCATCTCCAGCTAGCTATGTAATGGGAGAGGTGACACACTAGTGTCCTCCCGGGGAATGAGGATGAAAGGACAACACGTGGCAGACTCAGCACTCTGTGGGCGTCACCTGTCCGGGGTCACTATCCCTTCACAGCTAGGGGCACAGAAGCCTAGGGACAGATGTCACATTCCCAGCTGGCAGTGGGAGGAGAGGAGCCCATGGACCAGCTGCGTGTCTGCCTGCTGCTTTGTGGAGGGGCTGGAGTCCCACAGGCCAGTGGCTTTGCCTATATCTGGACACAAAACGGCCCTGGAAGAAGTTTCCAGGGCTTGTCATAGTTTTCTGAGACACCTGGCCCAGTCCAGGAGCCGCCAGCTTGGGGCTCTGCATCGCACGAGTTCGTGAGGGGCCCAAGATTGGAGGCCCAG